TTGTCCCACATTACTTGGGAAAAGAGTGAAAGTGGAGTATATTTGTAGTTTTGCTCCCTCTATGGGTAGGGATTCATAGGAGGAGAGAACTATAGATATTCCATGCATATGAGGGGGGTTGGGGGTGCATGCGCACACCATGCCGAGCCAGGTCGGGGCAGGGCCTTTTACCGAATTTGAATTTCAAACTTAATGTGTTTGCTTCTGCTCGAATAGGTGACTGTTCAAATTTCAAAATGTATTTTTTCAAACAAAATCATTTCTATTTTTGTGTCTCTTCTTCCTCCCTGTGCCTCTTCAAACAGGTACACTGTTCTGAAGAGGCTCTTGTCTGAACAGACACTTCTGTGTCTATTTAGGTCTGAAAGCACACTATAAAAAGAGTGTTGGCCGATCCAGTTTTTAACAGAACAAGTATTTCCTCCTTATCTTCTCTAAAATCTGAACATCAACTTCTATGGTTCGCAGATGGATTGCTTTATTGATTGATGTCTTTCTGTCTGTATAGTTAAAAGATGATTGGATATTGAGATCTGACTTGAACAATTGGATTCCAATTCAGAATACATTAATATCCTACAAACATGTTCACTCCTCTGCATCCCTCCAATGAATACAAGCACATTTAGTGGTGACAATTAAAAGAACAGTTCACCTGATATATATTTTGAATTTATTTCCATCACTGACCTGTCCATGTTTTATTAGGGGGAGGTGGCAATAGAGTCAGAGTGCTCTGACTGTCCCACCATTTAAAGCATCCCAAATATTGTTGCAACAGGTTTTTAAGAAGGTGTGGGTCTATTTACTAGTCATTTAAGAATGTTTCCGTAGGTTCAAAGTTAGACATCAAAGGAAACTCTTTTTATCTTATCCAATCAACAATCGTTCCAATATTCATTAAAGACTTCCACTTCACCCCCCCTACAGGCTACATATGTCCATTCTCTCTGATCAACATTCAATCAAATATCCATGGGGGCCCTAACAGTGCCATTCTTTTAGAAGACTTCCGACCTTCTCCTTCTCATGCTCTTCCTTTCTAATCCACAATAATTCAAAATCTTCATGGAGGATCTTCTCCTTCTCCCCTTACCCCATATGGAATTGGCATATTACCACATTTTTTAGATAATCTTAGAAAAAATCTTCCGGCGTAATCATGTTGTGCCGGTGAATAATTGGGCACAAGAAAGGGATGCATCACTACACTCTACTCCAACACCTGTTTGGCTCATATTAAAAGGGACTTTAACCTTCCACTGTGTTGTAAAGGTTTCCCAACCTTTCCCTACTTTTTCCTTCAAACCAAACATAGTCTTAAGGACCAGATTTTTGCTTTCTTCTTTTCTCATTCTCTACACTTCTCCAATGGGCATCTCAAGACCTATTGCACATTAAAAAGAAAAAGAAAAAGAAAAAGAAAATATGACTAATGATAATCACAACTAGACCTAAAGAGTTGCATGTCCAGTGCTTGGGCTTAATAGAAGGCATGAATTAAAAAAAAAAAAAAAAAAGGCTTCATTTCTTCTAATTGAAATAGCTTATCATGGTTTGAGCCTTTGAGGGAACTGCATTTCCTCCACAAGGTTCCAAATTACAAAGACCCCAAGATTCCCTCTCAAATTCTCTAGTTGTTCTTTGTAGGAGTATCTGGGTCAGGATGGCTTCATCTCATTGTGGTACGAATCTAACTCTGAATAAATCTTGATCCACTGGATGGGGCCCAAAATTGATATCAAGTCCATGGACTCACAAATGAAACTAAGCAAATCATCACAGCCACAAAATTCATTGACCTTTTGCCTTCAAGAGATTTGCCATGATTTTCTAATATCAGTCAATAGAATTGACACTTGATTTGAAAGAAGTTTCCCATGTGAGATCCATCAAATGGTAGAGCCCAGCCCATTCAACAAATGCCCATTTACTTGAATATGATAGAACAGAGTCCAGCAATCAGTCCGGAATCCAAAACCCTGGGGACATCAACCCCAAGAATCGGAAAAAAAGGGAAAATGGGTTCTCTTAATAATAAACTTGTGAGGTCCTAAATTTTCATTTATGGGGGTAATTGTGCAAGGAAGCAATACTTGACCGGTTGACCCTGAACCATTAACCGGCTTGAACCAGTCTCTTTCTTTCTTTTCAAGGTTTGGATTGGTTAATATCAACCAGATGGACAAACTAGGGCCAAAATTATAACGTTTGTTAGCTTAAAAAAAGACCTCATCGGTTTAATGTTGAGTACTGCACAAAAATCAGTTAAGTCCGGTGGAGTAGCGCTGGGTTAAAATTGTGGATCACGGTCCTTGATGTATTGATGTGTCCCCAACCTGAATCGGATGAAGGGACTTTAAATGAGCCCAACGTAATGAATCAAGGGCCGTGATTTCCCGGTTTTATCCCAGTGTTACTCCAAGGGGAGTAGCTGATTTCAGCTTATTCATCCAACCATCCAAGCAGGTGATGCTAATACAGACACCACTGTACAATAGTGGTTGGACCGGTGGATCGTTCTATATTCTACGCATGGGGTGAAGGAGACTTGACAAAGATTGAATGTTCTCGTGGTGTGTCGTATATTATTTAATATTAAACCAGCCGTTTCCCATCATGAGGTGGGCGTGCCGGAGTGGTTATCGGGCATGACTAGAAATCATGTGGGCTTTGCCCGCGCAAGTTCGAATCCTGCCTCCCACGATTAAAATTATTCGTGTGGGCATTTATTGGAACCCATTTTCAAGAAAAAATGTCTATACTTTTAAGACTCTTTTTTCACAAAAAAAAAATGTTTTAATTTTGTTTGGGAGTATTTCTACCACATAGGCAATGAGCAATAACTATGTTGTTTGGGAAGGTGTCGTTTTTCATGTATGTGCTGACAGGTAAGCACTACATAAAATATACGTAATCGTCAATCTGCTGGTTGGCATTATTAGAGAATATCAACCTATTCAAGGACCTCACCTAACAGCTTAAGCTTTTAGGTTGAATGGTTCTTTGAGATGGCATCAGAGACAAAGGTTCAACCTTGAAGTCTTTTCAAATTGTTCCTGTGTTTTCGGCAAGTGGCTAGCATCTTAGCCACCATGGCATCCATTTTTTGGAGAATCACAACACTCCATAAGATTTCAATCATGGGATTCACACCTACTGAACCATCAAGTGATGACACCACACTCTTGCCAAACAAGCGGCAACTCCCTAAAGCTGGTTTCTGGAATTACCTAGACCGTTAGATGATATAGATGGTGGCTCAACTTGCAATTTGATTGAACTGGTTAAGATTGGTCAATCGGTTCGAGTCAATTTGGCTTCATGGACCTACTACTCTTCTATTTGTCCCATAGAGGTCTATTTCAATTAAAAGAAAAACAGCCTACCAAGGCATTTCATTGACCCATTGAGGTCTTTATTAGTCATTCTTAGCCCTTTTTAGATTGGCCTGTTGTGACCCATTTCGTATCAGCTGAAGAAGCCAATCCATCGAGGCATTTGGGTTGACCCATTGAGGTCTTCTTTTTTTTTTTGGTCTATTTTGGCCTTTTTTTCTCAGTTTCGCCTCCGTTGGCCCATTGACAGCTTTTATCCTTGCCCATGGAAGCTCTCCTAAAAATAATAATAATAATAATAACAGGTTCTCATCATGCCATCATACAACCGGCCATCATGTCATCATCATCATTCCAACAGGCTTGTCATCATCTTAAAAATATGACACGATCAAGGTCACCATTTCATTATTTACATGTCACATCCTCGCAACTATCATCATATTGCAGCCATTTGTGATCAAACACATGAAAATTTCTAATAGAATTTTGTTATGATAAAGATGATGTTGAATAGAGTTACATTAATTCTTAGTATGATAGAATTTTGTTATGTTATGATAGAGATTGAGATTGTATTAGAGCCACTTTGACCAAGTGGTTTAGTGTTTGATTCTCATTACCCCTATTATAATTAATTAAGTTTCAGCACAAAGGTATGGGTAGGCCTGTACTTATTCGCACTTCAAGCCCAATGGTCTTTCATATGAGGGGGCATGTTAGAGAATATCAACCTATTAAAGGACATCACACAACAGGTTAAGCTTTTAGGTTGAATGATTTTTTGAGAGGCATCCATGATAGCAACTGGTTGGTATATGTCATAAACCGCATGAGAGCGACTGGTTGCAGTAGTGCCAAATAAATTCCTTCAATCAACATCGGATGAAGCTTTGGAGGTCTATCAGAATATCCTAGTTGAGTAATGACTCGTCATTCAAGTCTGTTGAGTGCTGCCTAGAGATCTACATGGAATGGGTGGGGTTTGATGGATTCACAACCTCCAGATATGATATTGAAAATATCGTCAACTTTTTTGCCAAAAGTTGGGTTCACTCATTTCAACCATAAAAATGAATTCCATATATATTGACTAATTTCCAGTACAACTGATTGCTTATTGTATATTTTTAAGCTCCAGGATGACGCTTTATGAATTATACGGTACATATCCTGCTTTCTGTAATTAGTAACGCAACTAAAATTGGGTTTTTAATTATTCATTTTTTCAGCTGTAAGTTCTATAGATACGAGTGGGGTGTTTTTCATAAAGGATATGAAGAATTCGATGAAAAAACGAGGTTTCATAAAGGATATGATTAAAATTTTGAATAAATATATAAGGCCATTAATTTCCTGTCCATCCACAGTAAATTTTGAGACAAAGCTTAAGGATGCAACATTACAAGCTTGTGTGCTGCATTTATAGCTTGGGTGTTTCCCTGTCGTCACCAGAATGTGATTTTTATTTGGCTTCATATTTGATTGATCTGCAGCTTAATGCCGTTTCAACATACTTGGAATTTTCATTACCAAGTAATCAAAAAAAAAGCCCAAAATGTCTCAACAAAACAAGTCTTTTTGAATCTATAAGAGAGAAAAGAAAGAAAAAAGAAAGCTGAAATTCTTATTTATCTAGAAGATCAAATACATGATCGAGCCTCAAAACAAATAATAAATTGTCTAATACATCCAAAATGAGTCCTCTTCAAGAGTTATGGCATTGGAAAAGTGTTAGGCTATTTCTTCACTTTTCAGCTTAGTTTTGCCATCCATCCTGATTTCTTTTGGTTCGCCCTACGTAGGAAGAAATCATTGGCAACTCGTTCTGGATAGTTTCCCATTTATTCATCTTCTAATAATTCTAAAACAGAGGCCAACCTATTGAGTTCAAAACTTCATCAGATTGGAGTGGGTGATATAGATCTTGAACCATTGTTTCATTTGTTAAACCTTCATGCAAGATGTCATGAGATGAGAGGGAATAACCAAAAGTAGAACTACCAGAAGAGAAGTTATTCCTAACACCATCTCCATAAGTCGCATCTGTGATATGTTGAATTTTGTCACCACGATGAACATGCAATAAATTTGAGCTTGAAATATCGGATATGGGAAGGTCGTCAACAGTGAAATCCATAATAAGATCCGAGGGATCATCTACTTTTTGACTCGAATGGTCAAAAATAGAATGTGAAGACAAGTTATTCCTAACATCATCCCCATCACTCACGTCTTTGATCTGTTGATTTCTGTCACCATGAACATGTAAGAAATTTGAGCTTGAAATATCGGATATGAGAAGATCATCAACATTGAAATCCATAAGAAGATCCGAAGGACCGTCTACATTTTGGCTGCTGGAAGAGGATGGCTTGTTGAAATCCCTAGTAGTCCCACCAATTATCTGAATCTTCTCATTTCCTTCCTTTCCTTCTTGTTGTGGAAGAAAAACTTGAATGCATCGTCTTTTGGCTTCGGGCTGAACAATATAAGAATTTTTCATGGGCTTCTTCTCTTTAGATTCCACGAGTCTTTTTTGTTGTTCAGCTTGCAACTTCTTGATTAGATGTGAATTCCAGTAGTTCTTGATTTCATTATCAGTTCGTCCAGGTAGTCTTCCTGCTATAAGGGACCATCTGCAAAAGCAAAATGATTTATCAATTTTCCTCTTTATGGGCTATGTGAGATCTTGACTTCTTATATTTGCCAACACCCAAGCATAATTGTTCCTTATTAAAAATAGTTTAGAACCTAGTAAAGAAGATCAAAACCTAATTTTATTTTAAGAATTAGAAATCCATACAACAGATGATATGTGTAGTTTGAGTTCCCGTCTTTGTTTTGGTTGATATTTTGTTTCGGCTCTCCTACTTGAGCTTTCCAAAGGGGTCCAGATGCAATAGGCATGTTAGTTAGTAAGCACAATGAGCGAGCACGTAATAACTGTATAACACATGTCCCAATTAATGTATCTTTCATCCAAACATTAGGATACTTTCTTCACTTTAGATGGTTAATTTCTAACAAGGAGTAGCAAGCTTTAGGATACTTTCTTGTAGTAGGCATGAGGGTGTAAATGTAGGCTATATATAAGGAGTAGATCAGTGTTAGAAAAACAGTTAAATTGAATTTTTTTAGTGCATGCTTGTTCGGTAGAACTATCTTCTTCTTATTTCAGCTCAAGTTCTTTTCTTTGTAGCTTCCATAAATACGAGTTGTTTTTTACCTACGCTAGTTGGTACCGGAGCACAAATTTGATCTCTTCTTTGGACTATGACTCCTAGGAAGAGACAAATGGTTCACATGAGAAGAGATGGTAGTACTGAGAAGATAAATCTATGCATTTGCTCAAGAGCTTATATCATTATGTTCGAGGGATATTGACTTTGATTCAAGTGCTTCCGTTTGTTCCATATCATCATCAAGGAAAATAACTAGATCGGCTGTATTGCAGGTGGTGACAAGAAAAGGCGGCAAATAAGTCTTAAAATTGAGATCATGGGGTTTCATAGATGTATGACCCTGAAAGAATTCATAGGTTTGGCTGTTCGTGGTTGAAAAAGTTCTTGAATTTAAGGAAATTGTGCTCTTAGTAACCATTAGGGATGTAAACAGATCGGATTCAAATTATGGTATATCTAAATCCGATCTGATATTATGAAGAGCATATCCAATCTGATCGGATCTCATAAACAGGGATTTGAATTTGAATCTGATTAGGAAGTCAGATATTCAGACTGGATCTTAGTTCTTTTAAATTAATAAATTATTAAAAGAAAATTAAAAATAACAATTTAAACAAAAAACAAGTATCTTTGCAACTATTTGTTATATATATATATATAACAAATTTACAAAAATGTAATATAAATAATATAGGATAGGATCTTTTCGGTGATCCGAATTTGATTTGATATCTGATCGGATCCCATCATTCGGCCTTACCCCAATCTGAAAATCTGAACCAAGGATATCCAAATCCTACAAAATGGGATTGGACTTCGGCCGATCCATTTGCACCCCTAATAACCACTCAATTTAGAGGGCATGTAATTGTGTGGTGACATCAATTGAAACGAGCCATATGTGCCAAGGTAGAGTGGTGTAGGTATGCAGCTAAGGCTCAGTTGGAAAGAGTACAAAAGCAAATATTTATAGTGCAAATACATACAAAATAATAATATAAAACATAAAGTTTTGCACTCTACATATTTGCATTTATACTCCTTCCAAACCGAGCCTAATAAGGTACAAGAAGCGCCTGGCACAGAGGCAAACTGATGGGTGCAATAGGCACTTAGCCCAGGCCAGAGTAGGCAAGCATGCATTGAGCAAATGGAAATAGGTGGCATAGTCATGGTACAATGCACATGGGTGCAGGGCAACGGACCAAACTTGCATAAGACGCAATATGATGCTCAAAGATGGACCTTACACACTGGTTGCTGCTAGGAGTGGGTTCGAGTCGAGCCAAGCCGAATAGTACCAGGCTCGAGCTCAGCTCGAGACTATTCTACAAGGCTTGAGCTCGAGCTCGATCTCGGCTCAACTCAGCTCGTTTTATATTTTATAAAAATATTTTATTATAAAAAAATAGAAAAAATATTTTATAAAAATAAAAATAATATATAAAAAAAATTATTTTATATTTAAAAAATTAATAATTATAATATTTTTATTATATATTATTTTCTATAATTTTATTATATATTATATATATATTAAATATCATATATATATATTCGAGCCGGCTCGCGAACTTCATGAACCGAACTCTAGTAGGCTCGAGCTCGACTCATTTAATAATCAATCACTAAATTGGATTCGATCTCGACTGAAACCGATCTGAACCAAGATTTTTACGATCCAAACTCAAACAGCTTGTAAAAGCTCGGCTGTTGCGACCCCTAATTGTGTTTTGTGTAGCAACACCTTAATTCATCAGTGGGAAAAACTACCCCGTAACACTTTAGTTTATAGTTTAGAATCATATATAAAATGTTATGTTCGTTGACGTTTGCACATCTACATTAATGACTTCCATTGATCAGTCTGACAGATGTTCCTTTAATTTGTCAAGACCGAAGATAAGTGGAAATCCAGACCCAAGATTAACCACCTCTGCCTCTCGTCAACTAGCTAGTTAATTAATTTCATCAGTGGGATGAAATAGATAGAGAAGAGAAATGTAAAATGTAAAATCACCTGTTGCCGATAAGTTTATGCATTTTGATGATGAGGTCATCTTCTTCCATGGAGAAGTTGCCCCTCTTAATACCTGGTTTCACATAATTCATCCATCGGAGCCTGCAACTCTTACCACATCGGTTCAAACCTACAGAAATCAAGGTTATTTACCATCATCATCAGTAATTCAGTTATAAATAAAATTTGGTCATGGATTAACTACATGTCACCCTTAATTTCGACTATTACCTGCTCGTTGAGGGAGTTCTCTCCATCTTCCCTCTCCATGGATTTGAATGTAGTTCAGAAGCAGCAAATCCTCGTCAACCGACCAAGCTCCCCGCTTGACTTGCTCTTTCACACAACATTGTTTTCTTACCATTTCTTTCTTTATTCCAATCCCAGCAGGAGAGAAATCTTCGAAATATGTCTCCCTTTGGCTAGCTCTTGTTTCTGCTCAAGAGAAATGAGATCCCAACTCAATATATATAATGATGGACTCACTCACTCAAATCAAGCACGCAACCCACCACTCGGGTGGGTGCAATGCATGCCTCAGTTTGGCAACTGATCTCGTGATTGGATTGTTTGGTGGAATGTAAAATACACAGGAGTGAATCTGACAATTTGTTTGGACTGTTTGTATACAGAGATTATATCATTGAAGTAGCAAGTCACATGGTAGACTATATTCAGTGCGTGTAACAATTAATGGAGGGGCTTTATTTTGCCTCTCAACTTGCTTGTACTAATGTACTAATTCATAATGTTTAGCAGGAAAACAAACAAAGTTTTGTACACGGAGCAGGTTAATATATAGCTAGTAGATTCCGTTAGCTTTCTTAAACGACAAGGAAATCTCACGTAAAGTTGATCAGCAGTACAAATCAATTTCAGAGGGTTTGATTGATTAATTACCTCTTTGCATATTTGGTTATGTATTATTATGAAAAAAAAAGCCTCCCTTCACCGAGTAAAGCGTCCAACTCACCAATACTATTGCTGGCACGTCAATAACGACAACAAAAGAGATGGAAAAGGACAGCCACACAACAAGCCCAAGGTTTGTTAGACTGTCGGAGCTAAACCGATGGTTCTTGAAATAATAATATTTCAGTAATAAAAATTACTTAACAGAAAATTAAAGCACCCATTATTTGTTGATTTGATCATTTTGATCACAGATGAGCATTGGTTTTCGGAGAAAAGAAAAATGCCCTTCTGAAATGTTATCGGAGCTCCATTGGTGGCAATTAAATACACGGTGATACGAACAACACCCAAGGTTGAAGATGATGTTCTTTTTTTCTTTGAATTAATTACGTATCAAGCAAATCCCAAAATAAACTTGAGGCATAATAATCGTTTTGCTTTCTCTGTTAGATATAACAGTTTAAAAATTTCAGAGGGAATTCTAAATCCAATTTAAAGAGTGAGGGGATATATAATCTGAGATTTGAGGAAACTAGTGTAGTGTTTCAAAACCTACTTAACTCTGACAGATAAAATGTAATGAACAAAAATGTCTTTCATTGTTCATTAAATTTTCAAAACATGCCCTTTTCTTCTTCTTCCTCTCCCCCCTCCTCTCTCTAGTCCCTTTCTTCTGCTTCTTCTCCCTTACCTATGCTTCTTCTTCTTTTCTCCCTGTAAGCCTCCTCAGCTATTCATCATCTCCTTCCGCACCACCGAACCACAGTGGGAGTGAAAGGGATTCCCAAACCACCGGTCCACATTCCTTCTCTTCTCTCTCTCTGTACTGTCTGTAAGCAAGTCAAACCAAACGACACCCCCTGCTTGTCCCATAGTCAAATCAGTCCCAAATCATCACATTTTTCTTAAGAATTAAACATGACAGAAAAGCCAGAAAAGACTGTTTGTGAAAGTGTTACTGTATAAATCTAACCGCTTTCCTTTGTAGGATGATTTGTCTTCAGTCGGTCGGCAAATTAGGTAAATCTACAAAAAAATGATCAAAGAACCTGGGGTGGCTAGCCTGGCGAGGTCGCTCCGATGCTTAAGTTAGATAGCTATTGCGAGTTTAATAGTTTTGAGAATGTGGAGAGCTTGAGGGCTACAGAGCAGAGAAATCACGCGTATCTTGGGTCATCGGAGTTGGAGCCTTTATATAGTTGACTCCTCGCGGGTTTTGCGGATTGGTTCCGGGATCTTCGTCACAATGGGATCTGTTTTCGCTTTAATTGGAGGATAATGTTATCAACTGATAAGGCTTATCAATTCTTCCCGAACCGAGCAGAGAGGAGATAAGTCTTGCCGTTATGCGGCATGGTCCCGCGAGGTTCAGGGTCTGTTGCAGAGATTTCCGGGGTCGTCACGTAGTGGTCTGGGTCGGTATCCCCAACCTGATACTTTTTTAGTTCTGAACTAGACTAAATGCCAAAGTGCCTTGGGACCGAGGTGGTTAGGTGTCCGAGCTCAACTAGGCATGTCGGGCTAAGTTGTCATCTCTTGGTCGAGTCGTGTCCACGTGTCCCCTTTTTACTAGGTCGGGCCAAATCACCCTTCATCAATTACCCCCCGCTCCTTGAGCCAGGGGTTTCGACCCGGTGCGGGGAGTTCATGACGAGTCCTAGTGGATTTGGCACGAGGTCTAGGCGGTTTTCCAAGCGGATCAGATAGTCGGACCTATTCGAACTTCCGGTTTAACCAGCAATAACCCAGGTCACGTCAAGTGTACGCGCGGACGTCACGCTGTTTATGGACTCCGTGGACGTCAAAAACACGCTCAACCGATTTCATCCTCGAGCATCGTCAAATCGGTTTTCATGATAGCCGTCAAATCGAGCAGGTCTTAGTCGTTGATCGCCTCGCGAAGAACTATAAATAGGGGGCCAAGGGACCCTTCTTCCTCGCCAAAAATCCTGTGATTAAGCTCTCCCGAGGTCGCGTCGGAGTCCTTCAACTCGCTCTTTGGGCATCGGGGTCGCCAACAACTCAGAGGATAGAGGGAACGACCCGGAGAAGAGAGGAGCGGTCTCTATGGCTACTGAGCTCGCCTCTTCTTTACCTTTAATCTGTTCTTGCTGGTTTGGCCTCGCGAGCTAGTTGTTCTAAGTTGAAGTTCGGCGTGCCTTGCGATGCCTTTGCTGTTGCTTCTTCGTCGGCTCTGCATTGGTGCTGCTAACCTCTCTATGGTCTAATACTATTTTACCGCGAGGTAGCTCTTGGTTCCCTGGATGTTGAGGCTGACTGCCATGGATGAAAAGGCCTTGCCTTGAGTTCGCGGCCAGAACCCCGAATCGGTTACCTGCGAGTGAACCACCTTCTTGATGCGAACACCAAGGAAGAATGGCTCTAGCAGGCTGAGTGTCTTCGGACCTGTTTCCGAGATTGTCTTGCGAAGCAGGTGGAGTGATGTGTCTGTCTCTCCTCCCACGAGGTGAGACTTGGCTCCTGGGAGGGACTGGGACCTGAGAAGTCTCCTCGCCTCGGTGGGGAGATCAAGTGATGTCCTGCACGCGAGGTCGGTTCTGCTGAGATGCTGGGTGCCGGGGTGGAACCGGCTGCTGGCTTTGCGGCAGTGGAGGGAACTGCTGCTGGTAGAACTGGTAGAACATTTGTTGTTAGTATTGTTAGAATTGTTGGACATGTTGCATTTGAACCTGAATGGCCCGCACGCAGTGTACCAGGTCGTCGAACTGGGATTGCCCGACTCCAGGGGGAACCACAGACGGTTCAGCGAAGGTCACGCCCACGACTTGAGGGAGCAGGGCGTTTACCTGTGTAGCACTTTGTGGCACGGTCAGTGTTGGGATCCCAGCCACAGTAAGTGGTATGGTAAACTGACCAATGCACATTGATGGCAACTGAGGTTGCCCCCCAGAGACGTTCATTTTAGTGCTCTGTCCGACGTGACTGGAGGATGCCATTGATTTCAGATGAGCTATTGATTGTGAAGAAGGCTTTTTGTAGCGTTCCCACAGACGGCGCCAATTGATGTTGCGCGATCTGACTGTTTCCTGCTGGAGGATGATCTGGCTTCCAGTCGGTCGGTGAACTAGGTAAATCTGCAAAAAAAGGATTAGAGAACCCGGGGTGGCTAGCCCAGCGAGGTCGCTCCGATGCTTAAGTTAGATAGAGTTGTTGCGAACTAAATAGTTTTGAGAATGTGGAGAGCTTGAGGGCTAGAGAGCAAAGAAATCACGCGTACCTTGGGTCATCGGAGTTGGAGCCTTTATATAGATGAGTACTTGCAAGTTTTGCGGATCGGTTCCGGGATCTTCGTCACGATGGGATCCGTTTCCGCTTTAATTGGAGGATAATGTTACCAACTGATAAGGCTTATCAATTCCTCCCGAACCGGGCGGGGAAGAGATAAGGCTTGTCGTTATGCGGCGTGATCCCGCGAGGTTCGGGGTCTGTTGGAGAGATTTCCGGAGTCGTCACGTAGTGGTCTGGGTCGATATCCCTGAGCTGATACTTTTTTAGTTCCGAACTGGACTAAATGCCAAAGTACCTTGGGACCGAGGTGGCCTTGTCCTGAGGTGACTTAATATCGAAGTGACCCTGTACCGAGGTGGTTGGGTGTCCGAGCTCAACTAAGCATATCGGGCTGATCTGTCATCTCTTGATCGGATCATGTCCACGTGTCCCCTTTTTTACTAAGTCGGGCAAAATCAACCTTCACCAGAATACATACAGAGCGTTCTTCCTGAATTTTGTGGGATTGTGAAACAGAGGTTTATGGCAAAGGTTGCATGAAGAACAGTCCTTTCTTCCGGTAACCGAGTCTTCCTGTTCCACATGCAACTTTCATAGATGCTTAATTGGTGTTTGATTGACTAGAAATACAACCACCATCGGCACTGTCTTGACACCCCTGCGGACACAAATTGGGTTTACACCGGTTGCATGGTGTTTTCTACCATTTGACCAGTGAGTCAGTGACAACCCACCGATTGGGTTTCCTCGTCATCGGTTTGCAACATCGCCTCTCCAAGTACAGCAGTTACAACACTTCACTTTCATCTTTTCATCGTCGGTTCCACTTCATCCCCTTCAGCATCAAGGAATAGCGGTTCTTGTAAGCAACGGTGATTACTTGTTGCATTTGGTAGTTCGCTTGGTCTCCGAAAACACCACCACGAAGAACGCCTCGAAAGATGTCTGTTTTACAGACTTAGCAATCTCGTCTAATTCCGTCTCCTCTTCTTCTTCTTCTTCTCATCATCGAACTAAATGAGAGTTAGTCTCTCCTTTTCTTTGCTTGAAAGTGGGGATTGGGAGAAGGAACATTGGAAATAAAAATGGAATTATATAAAAATTTAAAGGTAAATTTTTTGAACTACTTTTATAATTTAGCTAATTGACTAAGTATACTCTTACTCTTTCTTTTACCGTTGAAATATTGATAGAAAGACTGAAATATCTATTTACCCTTGTGTCAAATTAAAAGCTCCTCCGGTTCTTCTT